ACTATCTTTGAAAATTGATGGAGAAGTAGGATACTTCCATGTCAAAGAACACCTGAGGAAATTCATAAACACCAAAGCAGCGCTGCAAACGGTTTTGAAGGCCATTCTAGAAAGTGCTACAAGGACTACAGAAACCCCAATAGACTGAATTAACCAAGCAAGGCAAACAAACAATGGGGGGGGAGAGCCAACAACAGGGAAATATCATGACAAGGATAAGACAATATACATCAGTTATAGCCATTAATGTTAACAGTCTCAATTAACCAATCAAATGATATAGACTGGAAGAATGGATCAAGAAGCAAGATCCAACAATACACTGCATACAAGAAATACATTTCTAACAAAAAGAAATTGACATTGAAAATTAAAGGACAGAAAACAATACTCCATACAACGGGAAACCAGAAAAAAAGGAGGGATACTGATTCTATTTGCAGATAAAGTGGATTTCAAGCCAAGACGATCAAGAGAGACAGTGAAAGTCATGACATTCTTGTAAAGGGAACAATCTAAAAGGAACAATCATAAAACAAATAGTGCATCCAACTATATAAAACAAAAATCTTCAGTAAGATACTGGCATAAAATGCAGCAAATCAAGATTATACATCATGACCAAGTGGGATCCAATCATCTCAACAGATAAAGAAAACGTTTTTGACAAAGTGCAACACTCATTCATGATAAAAACCCTACAGAGGGCTGGCCGAATAGCTCAAGAGGATTAAAGCACCTGCAAGCAGGCAAATGGGCCGGGGTTTGATCCCACGCTGGCCCTGCCCCCGGGGCATGCTGAGATGGCAACTGAGCCTGGGTGTGGTGGCACACGCCTATAATCCCAGCTCTTGGGAGGCTGTAAGCAAGCTGATCTCTATGAGTCCATCTAGTAGTGACAGCCTAAACACCCTGTAGACCTTTCCCTAAAATTAAAACACACAAAAAAAAAAAAAAAAAAAAAAAAAAGAAAACCCCTACAGAAAATTAGAATAGTGGGTCTTTATCTTAATCTGATAAAGGCCATCTATGACAAACCAACAGCTTATATCGTATTAAATGGTCAATACCTGAAATTTTTCTTCTATAATCAGGAATAAGACAAGGATGCCCACTACTACCCATCTCTATTCCGTATAGTTCTGGAAACATCAGCCAGAGTCATTAGACAAGAGAGAAATAAAAGGAATAAGGATAAGAAAGAAAGAAGTTACATTATCATTATTTGCAGATGACTGATAGATGACTCCCAAAACTCCACCAAAATTCAGTATAGCTGGAAACAAAAGTCAACACTCAAAAATCAAGTCTTTCTGTACACAACAAGATCACTGAAAGAGAAGTTAGGGAGACAACACCTTTCAGAATAGCATCCATAAAAAATGGAATACTTAAGAATCAATCTCTTAGGGGCTAGGAGATAGCTCAGAGGAATAAGCGCGTGCCTGGCAAGCGCAAGGGCCTGAGTTCAATGGCCAGTTCCAAAAGAAGAAGAAGAAGAAAAAAAAAAAAAAGGAATCAACCTAACAGAGAAGTAGAAAAACCTCTACATGGAAAAATATAGTACTCTGAAAAAGGTGATTGAAGAGGGTATCAGAAAATGGAAAGATATCCCTGGCTCTTGGGTAGGAACAACCCACTATAGGGAAAATGGTCATACTTCCAAAATTGTTATACAGATCTAATGCAATTTGGATCAAAATTCTAACAGCATATCTCGTAGAAGTAGAGAAAATCCTAAAACGCATTCAGAACCAGAAGAGACCTAGAACAGCAAACAACTTTGGGCAACGAAAGGCAGGTGGCATCACCACCTCAGACTTGAAGCTATCCTATAAAGCTACTGTGATAGATGCAGGATGGTATTAGCAAAAAAACAGACCTGAGGGTCACTGGAACAGATCAGAAGATGTGGAAACAACCCCGGCCACACTCAGCCGCCTTGTCTTTGACAAAGGGGCCACATTCCTAGAAGAAAGACAGTCCCTTCAATAAGTGGTATCTAAAAAACTGGCTCTCCACACACCAAAGATTAAAATTAGACCGATACCTTTCACCATGCACTGAACTAAAATCAAAATGGATCAAAGATCTAAATATTAAAACACAAACACTAAGGTTGTTGGAAGACAGAATAGATAAAAGTCTTGAAGACAATGGTATAAGCAAAGACTTTATAAACAAAGCACAGTTTGTATAGGATCTATTACAAAGAATCAACTGGGATCTAATTTTATTAAAAAACTTTTTAAAAAATGTACTTAGTACAGGCTCTACAGGGTCTCGCTACATAGATCGGACTTGCAGTGATAGTTTTCAGCCTCCTAAGTGCTGGGATTACAGGCGCGCGCCACCCCGTCCAGTCTCAATCGCTGTCTCAGCATGAGCGCGGCTGGTGATGCCAGGGATTGAACCCGGCCCCTGTGCTCTGCCTAAGCAGGCACTTTAGTCTGCTGAGCTTTCTAGCTGGTCCTATTAAACAGCTTTTGTACAGTATGTGAAACCAACAGTGGTTAATAAAAGCCTTCCTTTTAACTGAAAACTAAGCCAAAAGAAACGCACGGCGCTGCCACACGCAGGTCCTCCTCCCTCTGCGTGAGGGCGGGGTGCGTGGGTGGCGGCAGCGCAATCACAGTAGGGATGAGGGGACCGGAGGGGACGGAAGTGTCCGGGAAGAAGGCCCAACCTAGAAAGGGAGCGGCACTACTTTACTTGCGCTGCTGGGGCACAGGCAGGGAGAGGGCGAGTGCAGGCTGCCAGATGCCAATTCACTGTACACCACTAACGCTCTGAGCAAGTTCAATCTCTTCCTTGGAGCAGCACAGCAGGGCTCCAAGGCTCATTTTTAGAACGTGTTGTGTTAAACTCCCACTGGGCGGCAGTGCACAGCAGGCGACAGCAGCAGCACAGCGACCAAGAAGAGCTCCGACTCTAGTTAAGCGCACTAGCCTTTGGGATGCACCGCAGACGCTGGAATTCTGGGGAGATGTTTCAAATGAGTACAGTAAAACAATTTTTGTTTTTCAGAAAGGCGTAACAGTTACCATTTCAACGCTATTACAGGTGAGTTTTGAAATGAAACAGGATATATTCAAAAACAGCTGCACACAAGGGGAGCGGGGGCAGCCGGCAGACAGCGGTACCTGAAGGCAGCAATTGCCCATCCCGAATCCCATGGCGTCCATGTAAATGTGGTCCGGCTTGGCAGCCCGCGTTGCCTCTGCGTCCCCGGGAAATGCCTCCACGAAGGGAGCCGGCGTGTTCTTGTCCCTAAATACTGCACGATTCGGAAGTAGAGGTGAGAGTCGGGCTCAAACCACTGCCCACCCAGCTGCCCTCCGCTGCCCCAGCACTCACTGGGCACGTTGATGGCGACCTTCTCACCTCTCCTGTGCCGGATGTTTCTGGTTAGAGTACTGGAACAGAGAACCACATGTCACCAGCCACCAGCAGAGCCACACACTTCCCGTGAGTGCAAGGACATGGATCTTAGGGGACTTCTGGAGACAGGGCGGGCGTGCCAGCCACACGCCACACCCAGGACCGACACCCTCCCAAGCACAGGTGTGTCCCTGACAGTCCCTACTCCATCTGCA